GTGTGTGTGTGTGTGTGTGTGTGTGTGTGTGTGTGTGTGTGTGCATCTCTCTTATTCCACAAGAGACATGAATCCACACTTATTGGTACAAAGTCTTCATTACACAATTTGTGGCTCTGACCCAGGTTCACTGTGTGGAAGGGATTAAGTGAGTGTGCACGTGGGTCAGGTACATGTATGTGTGGTTACAGAGTGTGACTTATGTGTGCAAACATTTGTGAGTGTTGTCTCCACCATAACAGTCTAAAAAGTTGAATCATATGCAGTGATGATAAACTGACTCTAGTCAAATCACATGCAGCTAAACAGCTCTTACTCATAACCTTTGTGTGTGTGTGTGTGTGTGCGTGCGTGCGTGCGTGCGTGCACTGGGGGATCATCTCACCTCACAGTGGTAACACTCTACATGGTAATCCTTGTCCATAGAAACCACCCGGATGGTTTCCTCAGAGCCCTGGTGAGACAAGTCAAACAGTTAGACCTTCACATTACATCACTCATTGAAGTGATGGTCCAATAACCTGCTGATCTGAGGTCTGATTCTCGCTGCTGCCATGTGCCCAACCTCACTACAGAAGGATACACTACGCTCTGAATTCACATGGCATTATCACAAAGACAAGGGGAAAGTTTGGACTTTTTTGGTCTTTGGTTGTTTTGGTGGCACAGTGTTGGGAGTCAGGTTAACTGAAGACTGTAAATTGTCCGTTAGCGTAAATGGCAATGTGTCTGTGTGTGTCAGCCATGTGACGTTTTTATATCTTAGTATATTTGTCAGGGGTATAATCTGAAGGTTAGCTTTAGCTGATTTTTAATGATTATTTTCGTTTTGGTCTTCTGGGTTTATTTTGAGACTTTTTTGCTAAATGTAAAAAATGTCATTTGGAGAAAATATATGATCTTAGACCCGATGCAAATTTTAAAATACTCTTAAATAAATATGTCCTCTGATATTATTATTTCAGTTTCTAATCTAATAGTTCTAAACCTGATAGTTCATCAAACTTATTTCATTAAATGTACTATTGAAATCTTTTGTTTTGTTGACCAGCTCATGAGATGAAAGATGTGTTTCTGACCTGGGCTGGAAGGATTGGCTGGTTGCATGAGGCACACTTGGGAGCAAAAACCCTGTTATAGGAGACAACACAATTAGAAATTCAACATTCACACCAGTCTGTGTGTCATGTTAATCCCTTGACTTCTTATTCCATATTTTACACACATTTTTCCAAATAAATCCCAGTATAATACCAATTCAAACATTATAAAACAGTCACAGGAGCGAAGGGACGACCTTTACACTTTGTCATTTCAAACTGCTTGTTTGCAAATTCCTGACCATGCTCTGTCATGCAGTGATCACATTTTATATGTTCTCCTTACGTGTGGTAGTCTTTAACGCAGTAGATGTTGTTCTCCACATCCACAGTGAAAGGCACTCCATCTAGACCCTCTTTACAAACCACGCAGCGGAAACAGCCTGGATGGTAGGACTTGCCCAGCGCCTGGAGGATCTACACACCCACACACACGTAGAAAACACACACACACACACACACACACACACATACACATACACATACACAACAGTAAGACTTAGGAGCGAGGGCACTGAGTTCAAGCAGTATCACACAATGGCTTGCCATCTTCCTTAAAGTCTAGATTAAAAACATGATGTGATATAATGTCATGTGTCAGGAGGAGCTTTGTTATCAAGGAGGTTCCTGTAGTGAATTAGACTGTGAGCGTAAAAAGACGCAAAAGAATTAAATGCACCAAGCTGGAATGCAAACTATGTCTGCACAGTATCTGCTTCACTTATGATGAGCACAATTATACATCAGGCGGAATCAGAAATATCAAATATTATTCATGCATCCAGCACAGTGTCTTGCCGGTGTAGTTCTAAACTACCAGAAACTCTACACACTGCCACCCTCGCTACTCTCATGGCCTCTGCTTTTCCACGACAAAGCTCTTACCATCTCCATGATGAGGTGACCACACACGAAGCACTTCTCAGCCGTCTGCTGGAAACCAGAGTACTGCGGGTGAGACAAGACACAGGATGTATTACACTCAGCAGTGAATTAAGAATCATTTCACAATCAGTACATGACCATAAGTTCATAAATAGAACTGGCTCAGGTGAGTGTGACCCTCCCTTAAGCCCCTTTTCCACAAAAAACCCCACTAACACCCACTTACATCTGCGTTCCTCTGCAATGGGAATAGATTCAATCAGCATTCACTCCCGCATCAAATGACGCAGTAGACACGTCTTAACCTTAACCCGGGTGAACACACTAATTTGGCGAGAGGTGAGGGGGGCTGGGGGAACCATCATAAGATATTTCTGACTCCAGAGCTGCACGATGTAGATCCAACACTTCCTGACCACCATATTAATACTATTATTATTAATATAGTATTATTATTATCATCATTATTATTGCTATTGAAATATTTAAGTAGTGCTGCTATCGTTAATAATATCATTATCTAAGTAACAATATTATTATTTTCATTGTAACAACCAGTCTGACAGAAGTTAAATATGTTCCTAGTCTCCCTATATGACAAAAAATGAATTGAGTTGATCTGCCTCAAGATGTTTTTGTCTTCGAGTCGTCTACAGAGGGCGCTGCTGTGCATGGTAAAATGAACAGGAGGTTTCTTTCAGTGTCCTTTGTCTTTAAGCTGAGATATTCACCCATCGATTGCCCCTGTCCCTTCAACCCAGGCCTACAGCAGATAATGAAGGTGACCATCTGCAGCTAACAGGCCCCTCGGGGTCCTGACATGGTGACCAGGTGGAGGTGGGAGGTGGTGATGGGCAGGCTGCCCCCTGCCCCTGACATCTTTACTCCAGATCAACCATCTGCCACCACCACACCCACCCCCACCCCTGAGACACCCCTGGGGTGACACGCCAGACTGGTCGTGCCTCAGCTGTGAGAGGAAGGTGGAAGAAGATTAGTCTCATCCTGTCACCTGACCTTCAGCATCAGTTTATCACTGAGGGGCTCTGATAGTGCATAACAAAAACAGAAGTTTTGGTATGACAGAACAGATTGTTGTGTGGGGAAGTTGCCTATAAACAGGAAGTTGAGACAGCAGATTATTTCATGTGTTGCAGGGGGAATTTATGAAGCAATAATTATATTACAGGAACTTTGTGGTCTTGTGTCGAACATCGCATTATGCTGCAGACCTGCAGTATTGAAAAAGTGATCAGAATTATAATTGTTCCATTTGCGTTTTGTTTTCATGTACATTAAATTTAGTTTTACAATACTAACACTATAGGCACAGTGAGGGCAGATCCTGTATCTGCTCTGTTAACCTGAAGCAGATGGACCAGGGCCAAGAGAGCAACAGCTGTCCTACAGAACCTCCTCCACCCATGAATGGTAAGTGCTGAGGAGCAGCACGTGGGGTAATTGAGCTCCTTGGGGAAATTTGGGGGAAATTAGTGGGAATTGGAGGGGTGGTGCTAAACTCCTAATTGTAGCTGCAATGTCTGTTTCCTCTGGAGGGTTGCAAAATGCAGCTAGAGATCCTAATCCCTTGTTATCCTCTCCACCAGCTCCTCATTCACCTCTCTCCACAAGGCAGGGACACAGTGCGATCAGCTAATCTGCTCATCCCACAACAAAATTGGTATTTCCTGGACAGGTGACTCACCAGGAAATCCTCCTCGCAGTAGACCTTCCCGTTGACGTTGTAGAACGCTTTCCCTCGCAGCCTTCTCCCTGAAGAGAAAGACAACAAATTTAATCTCCATTCTCTACTTGGCTTATGTGCTGCTTCAGACACACATGGCCAAAAGTATCTGGACAACCCTTCTATGTATGTTTGGTGAAGGACATGACATGAGTTTAGGGGTGGCATTGTCTTATTTCAACATGACACTGCCACCATATGCAGAACCAGCTCCATGAAGATGTGTGATGGAACTTGCATCAGCGTACACACAGGCTGGTTTTAAACCAACCCCACATATGTGACGCATATTCACACTGCATTCCAATATATTCATTCAGATTGTATATCATGTCCAGTTTTTTAGAACTTGATTTTTGGGAAAAGTTATAGCACTAGTTGGAGGCCATCTCAACAGTACTGACCTTTGAGGTGGCGGAAAGCGGAAAGCTGAAAGCAATGACCGCAACCAATGACCACAGAACAACAGAATAACTATTCGTCACTTTACGGAGAAGAACAAAATACTGTATGAGCCTTTTCCTTCATCTCTGTGTCTTTATGGCCCCAGCAGAACATCAGCTCAGAGCCAATGGCTGGCCAAGGGTTCGCAACACTTTGCCCATGCCCCTGTTTAATTACTTAGACCATTGATCCCAACAGGAATCCATTCACAGCTCATACACAATCAATACAGCAGTCTGCTTTCCAAACCTCCCCCCCAGAATCTCTCCTCTTCCCTGCACTGCCATTGTGCATCACTCACAGACAGACCAACAATAGCAGACTGGAGGGAGGATGTCCTCAACTTTGACACATGCATGAACACAGGCAGGCTCTAAACATCAGCATATGTGATCAGCCACTAAAATAAATCATCATCAAGATACAAGAGCAGGCCTCTGTTTGTTAATGAACTGAGCCAATATAATCAGCTCAGACTTTTAAGCTGATGAACAACTTTTAGACATAACTTTGTCGGTCTTTTGTCATTTTTGAGACCCAAACAGAAACCTGCCTACATGACAGTGGGCCCAGGTTCAGAAGCTGAGTCTGTAGGCCGACTTCCTCTGGGTGAACCTTCATTCATCAGACTCCAATCTATCAGGGAAATTCAGGAGCGAGCTGGCTCCTGCAGCCCCCTGCCACGCATCCCTCACAGCTCGCCCATTCAAATTCATTTACCAGCAGCCGTGGCTCTCTGGCAGCATCATGGCTTCACCCGGGGAAGATGAAGCACACAGATCTCATAAATCTGCTGGAATAGTCAGATTTAATTGTTGTACCGAGCCACCATTGATTTTATGGGTGTCCCAGCATGGGAAAGATGTGCCCCCTCCCTCTCTCTCTTTTTAGCGCTGAAATTTATGCAATCGCTGTATTTCACACACAAACACAGTGTCACAATGCTGGGAGATGGCAATACATTAACACCCACATAAATGGCTGGAGCGGCTGAGGAATGCTGTCCACACAATAGGTGAGACTTTTAAGACTTTGAGACTGAGCAGCAATTAGCATTTTGGTGGCGTGCAGCAAAGAGAAAAGCAAAACTGAGGAAGGAACTCCTTGTGATGCAACTCTTAGGAGACACTGTTTTCTACACTGGGGACTTTGCAGAGGCTAAACTTGCAGGAGCAGTGAGACTGTAGTGAACAGTGCAGCAGCAGGGGCTGTGAGGTGTTTCTGTGTGCTCGTCTGTGGCCTCCTCTCTGCAGTTTGGGGTCTGGAAGGTGAACACAAAGGCCTCAGCGCTGATGACTGTGTGGAGCGCTGCTAGGGGAGCGGGCCGACTGAGCAAACGGGGACATTCTTTCTGCCTGAGGTCACTAGCTGGTCCCATTCAACCCCCCGCACCTCTCCAACACCCGCTCTCTGCCCGCTCCCCTCACAGAGAGAAGGAGGAGGGGGAGGGCTCCGTGCCTGCCTCTCTCTCCTTTGTCACTCGACAGCGGCAAAAAGAAAAAATTAACACAATCCATTTTTATCACTCTTAAAACAAACCTTTATTTAACACAATACATTTGACTAACTCTCAAAATAAACGTGAAATTCTTGGAATGTGAACATACAGTCACATTACTTGACTCCTCGAGTTGAGATGCAGCTAACATATAAGATTCCTTTATCATTTGTTTGTTTCCTTTTGAGTTGGGGGTCTGGTGGTTCTGTTTTCAGTTTTTATTCTTAGTTATTTCACTCAGGTAGCCATGGGGAGGTTTCTGGGTCCAATGGTCCACTGCATGCTGGGTCCAGATCTTCTCATGTTTTGTTCTATTTGACCACTCTCCCACAGTTTAATTTAATGAACTGTTAATAAAACCAATGCTACTCTCTGAGCCTAACTATGGCATAGCATCCTACCTCTATGTTGCGGCCACTGGGTTGAGCCGAGTTCAATTTTGAGACTGTGGTCATGACATATTTGGCGATATAAAGATGACCCCAAAGAATCGATTGACAAGCTGGAAAAAGAATATTTCACTTTCAACAGCTAATATAACTTAATGTGAAGACGATAAAACAAAGACAGTAGTTTCAGGATTAGTGATAAACAATTGTTGCTCTACTTGCTCACAGTAAATCACAGTGTTACTGCTGAGGCTCTAAGACTCTGACCTCTGTTCTCCCTAAAGCTGGTTGTTTACAATTTTTGGTCATTTCAGAATTTGACCATGTTGCAATGAAATGAGTGTTAGTCTGGTTAAAGTGGACTGATGTGTCACAGCGGAAAAGGCATTATTCAGCTCAATTCACATGCGGTACAGCTAAATTCACACAGAAAAACTGAAACAAGCTTGTTTCCCTGATAAAACCAGCAACGTTTACAGGTAGCCATCAAACGCTGTCAGGAGGAAAAAACTCCACCACTGAGTTTAATTTCACAGTTTAGAGCCAAAAACTATTTCAATGCAGCACTTGAAGAAATGAATGAGGGGACTGCGTATCTTCATGCACTGTTAAGGTCTGTCTAAGCCCATCCTTCCTCCTGCTTTGGATCATGTGGGACATGTCAACTGTCCCATTGTTTCTGATATGAGATATAATTTTCAGCTGCCCTAACCCTAACCATTCATTTCAGCTGCTGACACTGATAACTAAGTTATTAACGTAGGACTTGTTCCCATTTTCTGATGTCAAGGTTTTGTTTTTTACCCTTTTCCACTCTTAAACTGTTGTTTTATTTGCTCTTAAGTTCCATGTAATAATGATATTACACTTGATGCCCTAGAAATTTGGCACTTAGCTATAATCAATGAAGGTTTTTGAGGAGGGGGTCAAGTTAATGTAAAGCTTTCAGACATGCACTGAGGTCTGGAAATTGAGAGAACGCAAATGTCTTGAAACTTGAAAACAGCTTTTGGTGATAAGGGCTGATGTGTCAATGTGTTGTAAACAAAAACATGTGATGTCCACAGTGGAATTTCTACTTCATGTCCAGTATTTATCGATTACCTACGTTGAACATATCATATCCTTCCCAAGTGAAGGACGGTTGGAGTAAAGCAATATGACAAAGGCCGTGTTTTCACCTATCCACTTAAATGTAAAAATGTTTGACTACATATGGACCCTGGAGAATAAAATATTGAACCCATGACACATTCCAAACACTGATATACTGGGACTTTGTAAACCATGTCCTACCTTTGAAACATCTAAATGCCCTTTGCAAATGCTGTGTCAAAAGTGGGCTCATATCAGGTCACACTCCCTGTATTTGTCAACTTCCTATTGGTCATATGCCTGTTGATGTGTTTCAACATGTGATAACTGTTCCTCTTTGTGGAGGTGAGCTTGACATTTGTTTTTACAATGGTCAATTAAATAATTTGGCAGTTTTCTCTGGATCATTGTGACTAAACATAGGACTCAACACTTCCTCAAACATGAAACAGTAGGTGTGGGTCGGGCCTGAAAATACTACACAAATATCAGACTGTATGGAATCAGGTTGATCAGTCATAATGACTAACAACCTCTGATCATCCAACATCATCTAATGTCATGCACTCATTACAAATATTATGGCAAATTTACCCACAATTTGTCCCACCAGAGGTTTGGTCCTGAATCCCCCTTCTGTGCCAACGCAAACCCTCTGCTGAGCGGGTTACAAGAAGGATCATCTTCCACACTGATCTCAGAAAAAAGATATCTGGCGAGATGTTAACTCTTTCTCAAGGGACCTGAGTGTGATCAGTGGGCAACGACAGACGAAGGGAGGGGGAGACGTTTAATGGTGCAATCACAAAAGCCGCATTTCAGCCAAAACAAACGTAGTTTTAGTCCCAGGGACTAAAAGGTTTCTGCAGAACTGTGTTCCCACTGTAGTCTCAAGACTGGGAGATAAAGCAAAGTAGCCTGCTGACATACGAACAACAAACTGTTCCACTCAAGTCCACCAGGAGACAGTAATGCAGAAGACAATACAAAAATAAAGATGCTGTGCATAATTGAGCAACACAACAACAACAGTAAACAAGGAGGAGAAACAAATCTTGCAGGTGTTGATCCGAATGAGTCAAACACTGGTAATAAAACGTATCCCTGAAATACTAGACTTAAAGTGAAGAAACAGATTGTCTGAGCTACTGCAGATTTCCCAGCTGAGATAAAACTTTGTAAACAGTACTTGACCAATTGGGCATCATTCCCCACCCCAAAGGTCCCTGTGCTTTCATTAGGTGCAATCCCCGGTGCAGGGACTTTCTAAAGGGTACAATCATTTCCCCAGAACGTGATTTATACCCTGGTCCCTGCAGTGGAAAAGCACAGAGTTTCTGCAGAGTATCTAGTTCCTGACAGTGGTTCCTGCTGTGAAAATGCAGCTCAAGCTTTAGGGGCTGGTATAAGAGTGGCAAGAATTGCAGAGGCTGACATGTCATCAACTGTGCAGAAGAAGAGGAGATGTGGAAAGGGGGGATGAGTGTGTATGTGTGAGAGAGATGTAGTTCCCACTGGTAACGTTATATTAAAAATATCCTCCAGTCTGTGAAGCTTTGTTATTTTCTTGCCTTGCAATAAACGAGCAATGAAATTTCTACCG